AAACATGTTTAGCAAAATATTAAAGCCTATCAACACTTGCTAGTGCACTCGTTTTTCCGTCGTTAATTAAGTGATCTCATCTTAGGTATAGACAGCCTGTCATGGTAACAGCTAACTCTACACCGGTACATCTAAAAGAATGTCTGTCTTAATTCTGTTTTTATCGGCTACACAAGCAAAATAAAACCTTGTAAAAAAGATGTTCACTGGGGCTTATTAAGTTGATATATTAATTACAATTTCAAAGTCATAGGGTTTTTTTTTAGCGAACAACTCCCACCTATTTGTTCACGGTTAAAATAAAAACGTTCACAATATATCCGAATTTGTAGCTTCGGCATGTTGTTTTTTTTTTTTTTGCAGGATTAACTGCTTAGGTCAGTTTTAAGTGGAGTATACATAATATATATATATATTTTTATATATATATATATATATATATATATATATATATATATATATATATATATATATATATATATATATGTATATATATATAAATAAATATATATATATATATAAATATAAATATAAATATATATATATATATATATATATATATATATATATATATATATATATATATATATATATATATATATATATATATTTATATTTATATTTATATTTATATATATATATATATATATATTTATATATATATATTTATATTGTATTTGTTTGTTTGTCTGTTCCGTTCAATAAGGGCATCTACACTAGATGTAGAATTGAAATATACGGATTGATGTAAAAAAACGTTATTTGTCCTACAAATACTAAACATACTTACTAATTTTTGCCCATCCCCCATTCCCCCCCCTTTAATTTTGAATATATATATATATATATATATATATATATATATATGTGTGTGTGTGTGTTTGTGTGAGTGTGTGTACTTTGAATCATACTGAATAACTTAATGGAATCTAACAATGTTTTGCTATTGATAGTCCGAGAAATGTAAACAGCACTTCTGGGAGCCTAGCTCGTGAAAACGTTACTATACAAGCTAGCAAAGACATTTACTCCTGGAATTGACAGCGGCGTTGGGATTGGTGATGACGGCAAAGATTTTAATTGAATAGAATCCAACGATTTTACTGCTCTGGTTTTTTGTGATCAGGTACGGCTAGAGATTCATTAAACAGGAGGTAGAGAGTGCTGTGAAATCTATTTTTGAAAATGACGTATTTAGAAAATGGGGGGATCATCTTCATTACAAGATCAAAAATTTATCCCCGCGTATATATAGATTGGCGCAGTACTCAAAGTGGAGAAAGTTGCTAATTATTTAACCAGGAGCATTTTTATTTAATTATGCACCTTATCACTATTATCAGGGCACTGATTATTAAGAAAAGATATATTTCTCTTGTTCGCTTACTTTCTCACGATTTTTATGTAAATTTGACTAATTATCCATTCCCAATAGCTTAGTACGATTTATTTTTCAACAATTTATGGAAATAATCATTAAATGTAATTATCTTTGTCAAATATAACTATTTAAAACACGTCATTACTTTTATTTATGCCTAAAGTGTATAGGTAGCTGTATTGAACGTTATTTGATTATCATGTGTAAATACATATATTTATTATTATCTTAAAATTAAATAAGACCTATAAAAAAATACAAGCTCTACATAGTATTTTACATTCTGCTAAAAATCATTAGTTTGAATTCACTCCTAATTGTGTTTTATTTCGCAACCTGAACGTGTTGGCAGCTTTATTAATATTATAGCATAATCTACTTAACAAACAGACACTCTAGGTCATTTTGTTCTCCTTATATGGTTTAAACATTTTTTAAATTTCGATTTGACCGAAGAGAAAGGTAGAAAAATGTATCACATATTAAACTTTTTTTTAAATTTTGAAATCAAGGATTTCGAATTTTTGTTAAATGATACAAAGGCGAACTATGATTAGACCTTCTAGTAAAGATATATTATATCAAGTTAAGCTATATAGATTGTTTTTTTTATAAACTTTACTAGCAGGCAATTCTATCCAGTAAATTTAGCACTTCTAATAGCAATGTACATAATAAAGTTAAACATTAATTAGACGTCAATTGTTGAACTGCATCTTTTACCCTTTTCTCTAAACAAAGGTATAAAACTGACAAATTTTAATAAATTGATCAAAAAGAAAATGAATGCATTGACAGTGTTAAATAGAATTAGTGATAAAAATGTACACTTCGTTTCGAACAGTTAATTTTATTTTACGTAATATTAACAATACATTGTTGGCTCTAGTACTACAATAATTTTGTAAATATTAACTATTTCAACGGGAGAGAATAATATGACAATTTGGAAAATGAGTTAGATTAAGTTATCTTCCGTGAAAACAAAACGTACATTCATATTTATATTTATATTTTAAAATAAAACAATAATAAAAACATTTAAAGAACCAAATAATTAAAAAAACTAATACTAATTTAATAACTCTCTGTGTAAGATATAAAATGAGAATTTAATGATTTGAATAAAAATAGAAAGTTTGTTTTAATTTATTTTATTTTTTGTTTTATGAGCTTGATTACTTGAAGGAATTTTTTTTATTCAATTTTATTTTGTCAAAGAGAATACTGAAAACTTAAGCGCATATCTTGTATCCTAAAATTTTGAAAAACAAATAAAAATATATACTCTCTTCATTTATGTTTCTTTTTTATTAAGTCAACACTTCAGACCACTAAACAAATTGATATTATTTATATATTGTTGTCAATTTAAGCGAGACTATATATTCTCCTTCATCAAAGAAAGCATACAATCTTTCTAAAGCTTGCGATTGTTTACCTGTTATTTGTGGCTGCGGCAGTACATATTTTCCATGTCCGCAAACAACTTTAGCAACAAATGACCAGCAGCAATTCAACAGGCTCCATGGGTTATTGTGGTCGGTAAATATAATACATGACTAGCTACCCATACGTACCGAGTTCAAATCCTGGGCTCGAGTCGTTGGAATGTCTGCTGAGTACGTAACTCACGTTAGGGAAAGTTAAGAATTCTTGGTATTGTGCTGACCACACTATCCTTTCGTATGATGAGGTCAGTGAAACAGATGAATTCTACCTCATCTGCATAATTTGACATTAACTTCATAAGAGTAGCTTTACTTTATTTACTTATTTTATAACTGGGGACAGCCACTCTTCTATGAGAGACAACTCAAAAATTAAAACAACTGCTGCCTTGTAGTTTGTTCTTGGTTGAACAAAGGCTATGGAAGTAAATGGCGCATAACCAGTTGACATGTATCCTTACTTGTGATGGAGGCGTGGTCGAGTCGGCAAAAGCTAATGGTTGATAAATTCGAAAAAGTTTCGAGTTCAAACCCTCTGGCAGATAAATCTCGATCCCTCCCAACACTAAAATTGAGAACGAAGAAGAAGAAGACTATTATCACACCCATGTATAAAACTAACAGTTCAACATTAACTGAAAACAAGCACAATTTATCACCAAGATCTACTGTAATACATTTTTTTCTACTGCCTTTTTTTTTAAATTTATTTAGGTACTTTTATGAACATTGATTTCTGCACAACAGCACAGAAAACATATTGAAATACCTTTAGAATGTATTTTTAGAACATTCATTTTAAAATGTCTTCATTTTTATTTACATTTAATAATTTCCAACTGAGATTTTCACTCAAGGCAAATCATCACCTCGGCTAATTGACATGGTTGACTCCATTGGCACCTATCTACTCCGGTTGATAATATTCACGGTGACAGACGAAGGAGATGCCCCATCGCAAGTGGTATTGTAATTAGCTCATTTGCTGGAATCTTCTTTATCACGAGTGTTTTACACTAACATGCAAATGTTGCTTTTTTTAAATTCTGAATCTCGAGTTTTATAGATCTGAATTTAATGGCTATGTATATTCAGCTATGGGACGGAGTAGTCGAATGGTAGATTATACGACTGCTAACCCGAAAGTCTAGAGTTCGAATCCGGGGTTCAAGAACAAATATCGTCCCTGAGTCCACCCAACTCTGATGGGTACCTAACTCACGTTAGGGAAAATAAAGGCGGCTGTACATAGTGGTGACCGCACTATCCTTTCATATGCCGAGGTCACTGAAACAAGTGCTTGCCCCATGGACCGTCATGTTTGAAGGGGTACTTTACTTTACTTTAAGTATTCTGCTATGAGTTCGTTACAGTGTTATTGTTCCAAACATGCGGACATAGAAACAAGATTTTCTGTTAAGACATTAATGAGTACCCCAATCTCTAAAGGGTACTTGACACACGTAAGGGAAATTAAAGGCGTTTTAATTTCGTGTTCTACACATTATCACAATATATGCCAAAGGTCACCAAAAAAAGGTGAACTCTACTTCACCTGCTCCTGGGACCGTCAAGATCAAATTTGTACTTTACTTAATATCTAAACTCTAAGTCCACCTACAAATCCCACATGGACAAAGCATCAGTTCTCAAAATACACGTGGTCAAAGCACTTGGGACATTATTTATAGAATCTATGTTTTTTATAACCAGTTTACTTTTTGTATTAATTTATTTTGTTTGCAGATTACATTATTTATTTAAAATATGTTGTGATTGGAATAAGTAATGTTTCCAATATAAATTTTAGTTATATCGGACTTTAATTATAGAATCTATTGTAAATTTACTTTAAACAGAATATAGATTGCTTTTTAAACAGCCTAATTTATAAATGTATTTTGTTAATATGAATAAGCGAGAATTCGATCTTTACGCTATTTAGTACATTACGCTATTATATTATAATGTAAAAATAGCAGCGAATTGTTTTTAAAACGAGGCTGCGCGCGTGATACCTCTCGCTGGCCCGCGCGCTGAACTGCTACACGTCAAGTAGGTCATTACGTCAAGTAGGTCATGACGTGGAGGCTGGCTTTCCAGGAAAATCGGGAAAACGGAAAACTACGTTGTACCAGCATCTTTCTTTCATTCGGGCGGAGGATTACGTGGCGTGTAGTTGAAGTTATATTGGAGTGTATTTGCCATTTCTTATGTTACTTGGTACAATATTGAGTCGTGTATTTTTAATGGTAAGCTGGTATATAACATTATGTAAGCTTATGTATATGTATACATAGTTGTATATAGTTGCATATATATATATATATATATATATATATATATATATATATATATATATATATATATATATATATATATATATATATATATGTATATACATGTATAAATATAAATATATATATATATATATATATATATATATATATATATATATATATATATATATAAATATATATATATATATATATACATGTATAAATATATATATATATATAAATATATATATATATATATATATATATATATATATATATATATATATATATATATATATTTATATATATAGATTATACATACACAAAATATATATGTATGCTGAAAATAATAGAATAATACTGTAGTCTATAATTTTGTTATCAGTAATCAAATAGCATTGTAGTGTAAGTTATACGATGTCGTGAGTAATTCTGCATTTTCTAGGAAAATGCGAAGCATAAATACGTAAGTACGACAGTTTTTTTCTTAGGCTGCAAGGCTGTTTCAATGATTTCATGGCTACAATGAAGGCTTGGACTATGTTTACAAGTTTGGCTGTGTTGTTGCTGGTATGTGCTAGTGTTACAGCCCAAGATGAGCTCAACACCAACTGTACCTTAACCCCTGTCATCACGGATCAGCTGAAGACGAAACTCTTTGAGTACTTTGATAAATCGTCTGAGACCAAATTGCTAGAATATAAGTTGGTATTTGACAACTACACGAACAATCAGAAATGCAAGGATTCGGCTACTTGGAGGTGAGATAATGTGAATGAATCGAAAATTGTAATATATATATATATATATATATATATATATATATATATATATATATATATATATATATATATATATATATATATATATATATATATATATATATATAATACATACACATTTATATATATTTAAATTTTTTATAAGTATTTATATATATATATATATATATATATATATATATATATATATATATATATATATATATATATATATATTTGTGAGATAATGACCAGGAAAGTATATATTATATTTATATACACTGTTATTATTCAGCACAACCCAACTGAAACCTCTTAAAATAAGGATCATTTTTTCTATCGAAAAATTGCTTTAGTTCAAATCAGTTAGAAATAAAGCTGGTTCAGCCAGGGGCGTAGCAAGGGGCGGGGGTGCGGACCGCACAGGGTGACACCATTTAGGGACGGGTGACACCAAGGCAAAAAATAGAAAGAATATATACAGAAAAATGATAAGTCCACCAAAAATGGTTAATTAGATAATAAATAGTCCTTTAAGAACAGATTTGATAAATCCCGACAATGGTGCAATGGGGGGGGGAGGGGAGTAACACCATTACGTAAACCTGGTATTGATAGAGAATATATATATATATATATATATATATATATATATATATATATATATATATATATATATATATATATATGTGCATATATATATATATATATATATATATATTATATTATATATATATATATATATTGTGACGTGGCCTAGACGTTCATAGCGAAAGCGTGTAGGCACGGAGGGGTTGGGTGTGAGAGTCGCCTCCCCTGAGAAGTGTGTGAACTGTGTGTGTCAGCGGTGTGTGGTGTAGAGCGAGTGAAGTAGGGAATGTTTTTGTGTACCATGTTCAGTGTTCCCCTGTAGAAGTTGAAAATTATATTGGATCATTACATTTGAACTGTGTTTTAAATTGTGTTATACCTTGTTCCACTATGAAATGGAAAGCTAACCATAACAAGTGGGGGCTCGTCCGGGATTTGAACACAACAAGATTTTTGAGAAGTTTTACCCCTAGACAAAAAGGAAAATATCCAGTATCAACAGCAGCGTTAGAGCCGACATGAAAATATCGAATGTCAACAGCAGCGTCACAACCGACTTGAAAATGTCTAGTATCAACAGCAGCGTCACAACCGACTAGAAACTTGCTAGTATTAACGGCATCGTTACAGCCGACTAGAAAACATCTAGTATTAACGGCATCGTTACAGCCGACTGGGAAGTGTCTAGTATCAACGGCAGCGTCACAACCGACCAGAAAAGACGTAGTATCAACAGCCACAAAACTTGTGAACAGTGCTGCAGACATCATGGCCATAAATAATGAGATGCAAAATACAGTGATAAAGCTAGGAGAGAAGTTGAGAGAACTTGCTAGCTACAAAGTGGACTACATTAGCATAGCAAGTAAGTTATCAAATTTTAGAGCTACAATATTAGCATCTCAGTCCTTGAGCACAGCAGAAGCAAATCATTGCGTCGCCACCAACATGAAAGCTTTAGCTACTGTCCCACTTGCAGAAGACCTAGTCAACCAGACACGCAATCTAGGCAACAAGTGAACAGAGTGGAGAACGAGGTCAAGGGCAGCTGAGCAGAAGGTAACTTTATTCCAGAATCAAGTTCATAGTCTTTTTACAAGCTTTTATTTAACTCACTTCCTCTGTCTGTCGTAAGTCGTCAGTCGTCAGTCTAGACGGAAACGCAGGAGTGAAAATTCGGACAGTTCTACTTGACCGACACGATTCACAGTTGGCACGTGGGTCAAGACATGAAGACAATGCAATCTGAAACTAAATTTGACTTAATTGGATGCCTAATTGATTTTTTATGAATTAATTAAAATTTGGACCGAATTAGTAGGCATGTCTAGCCAACCACACCACACGCGTCATCAATAGCTGCGCCATCACGACCACGTAATGGCTGCGTTCAAAAACCATTGCGCGCCTACTGAACGTGATATTCAGTAGGCGCGCAATGGTTTTTAGTCATGTAACTCTATTGTAGATAAAACATGTAAAGTACTGGAAAAAAAATTCATAAAAAACGTTTTAATAACAAGCTTTTATGTAATGATGCACTAAAAAGTAGAAAATAAATTATAGACTACTATTTAAATAACTATAAAGAAAAGCGTGGGTGTCTTCCTTAACATTAGTAAAGGTATCCAATAGATACTAAAGTGACCCACGCTTTTCTTTATAGTTATTTAAATAGTAGTCTATAATTTATTTTCTACTTTTTAGTGCATCATTACATAAAAGCTTGTTATTAAAACGTTTTTTATGAATTTTTTTTTAAAGATACTAATGAGACTTTAATCATAGTTAAAGACTGTGATGTCAAGATAGCAGGATCGAAACAAAAATGTTTGGACTCCAGAGCCAGAGCTGAGCAGAAGAGCCAGAGCCAACGTCAGAGCCAGAGCCAGTGCCAGAGCCAGAGCCAGTGCCAGAGCCAGTGCCAGAGCCAGTGCCAGAGCCAGTGCCAGAGCCAGTGCCAGAGCCAGTGCCAGAGCCAAAGTCAGAGCCCGTGCCAGAGCCCGTGCCAGAGCCCGTGCCAGAGCGCGTGCCAGAGCCAAAACAGAGCCAGAGCCAAAACCAGAGCCAGAGCCAGAGCCGGAGCCAAAACCAGAGCCAAAGCCAAAACCAGAGCCAAAGCCAGAGCCAAAACCAAAGCCAGAGCGAGAGCCAAAGCCAGAGCGAGATCCAGATCGACATCCAGAGCCAGAATACTGTACCAAAATTAGAGTGCGGACGAACTTGTGTTATCTGAATAGCTTCTAGTTTTCATTGTCATCATTGACTAGATTTATTTCAACATATCTAACTTCATAAAACGAAAGGAAAGTAACATTGTTCTGATGTATTGTAATTCAATTCAAATGCTTTATTGATGACAAATGTTTTTTAAAAACCTTGTTGACTTATAGACTAGACGTATAAAGCTATAAGTAGTTAATTCATGCGTACGTCCAACATTTTATTGTAGAGATATAATTTTTTACTCGCCATCATTTATTTATAGGGAGATTTAAAGCATGTAAAAGGTCAGATAAATATTTTGTTAAAATTTTTACTGTACATGTTAAGTAGTTGTGCAGGATAGACCTTAGAAATGCTGTTTAATTTAAGGAAAAATAAGAAACCTCTTTTTTTTAGGGGGGAGGTGTGACGTGGCCTAGACGTTCATAGCGAAAGCGTGTAGGTACGGAGGGGTTGGGTGTGAGAGTCGCCTTCCCTGAGAAGTGTGTGAACTGTGTGTGTCAGCGGTGTGTGGTGTAGAGCGAGTGAAGTAGGGAATGTTTTTGTGTACCATGTTCAGTGTTCCCCTGTAGAAGTTGAAAATTATATTGGATCATTACATTTGAACTGTGTTTTAAATTGTGTTATACCTTGTTCCACTATGAAATGGAAAGCTAACCATAACAATATATATATATATATATATATATATATATATATATATATATATATATATATATATATATATATATTATACATCCATGGTTTCTATTATTGCAAGCCTATGCCTACAGTAATCACAGAGTTTAGAAGCCTACAAAAACATCCAAGCCAATAAAATAGGGTAGTACACAATGCGACAGCTTGTTGTGTTATTGATTTTATAAACGGTGATCGACAAGTTAAAAAAAAAATTAGCCTTTTGTGCTCTTAAGAAAGTTAGTCGAGGAAAAAAAAAATAAGCCAAGTATTCCTCCGCTGAATGGCTTATACAATTTACAAAAAAATATCATTCCTCACCTCGTCACCATGCAGAAAATATATTTCGTATTTAAATATAGTTTTATTGGAAGCTTTTGAAAACAAATCAACCAGTTTTTCCTGTATGCGTTAGGAGGCACATATTTGCATGTACCTGTTAGTATATTAATGTGCAATATGGCTTTTAACTTTCTAATATAGAGCGTAAAAGTATTGCAAAGTGCAATAAGTCGGAATCAAATATTTTTGGGCTACATTCTGTCGGAAAACTCCAGTTATGCAATCTCTAAAAGTGTGTGTCCGTCAGTATGTGTGTTTGTGTATCAACACGATGACTTATGTAGTTAGGTGGATGCAATATTATATACAAATATAAGATCCTATATAACGGTTTCGATCAACTTTTCAAGGATTTCAAAAGTTTTCTTTAAAAAATTTAATATATTGATAGTTTACATTATTTTTTATGTATCTAATTTTTATAAAGCAATATTACTTTAGAATTTTTAGCCTCTATCTATTTAAACTACTGACATAAATGAAACAATAATGTATCATTTATATTTAAAAACATTTTTAAAATACTTTAAGACTTTAAAAATGTTAATTCAATAGTATTGCAAAACAATAAACAATTGCTCTCAATATTAACATAAAGTACAAAATAGTTCTTTATATAGGAAATATAGTTAACTCCTTAAAAATTAATTAAACATCAAACTAATTGTCATCCGGTCTTGACCCCAGTACCATGTTTAAAATAAATTGGTCCGGCAGAAGTGGTAGAAGTTTCGCTCGTAGTTTTGAATCATGTCGGACAAAGCCAAACGAAAGAAAGGCAGAAAAAAAAAATTCAAAAGCAGTTAAAACTATGTTCAACATTTTACATTAAAAATAAATAGATAAAAAAATACCGTGTAGTTTTCAAGTCTAAAAACAAATTTTCAAGAAACTTAAATCAATACACTAAAAACTTTTAAATTAAAATTTTCATTAAAAATTCATATTATTTTTTTTTATTTAACACGTAGGTGGTTTCGTGCACAAGAATTTGGATCTGTATATTTTTTCTTCTTCAATGAAGATTTTTGGGCTAACAGAATCAAATTTAAAAGCATCAGCGATTCTGTTGAAATAAAATTTCAAACCATTCCTGCTAAATGTCTTGGGAACTTAACGTGTAGAGAGCAGCAGTCTTTGATCAGAAACGCTTTAATTTCAGGTACACTTCTGTTCATTATTGAAATCAATAATATTCATTTTTATAATTAATCCATACGCAGGCTTACTTGTTATATATGTATTTTTGAATATACACACATACAGGCGCACGTACATACGCCTACACCTACACCTACACCTACACCTACACCTACACCTACACCTACACCTACACCTACACCTACACCTACACCTACACCTACACCTACACCTACTCCTACAACTACACCTACACCTACACCTACACCTACACCTACACCTACAACTACATCCACATCCACATCCACATCCACATCTACATCTACATCTACATCTACATCATATCTGTATCTGTAAAAAGTCTTATTCTCTTCATTCTTTCGAATTTTGACTATTTTTTGTGACCGGAGGTTGTTCTTTACTCCTTTTCCGCTTAAAAAAATGACACATGACACATGACACATGACACATGACACATGACACATAACACATGACACATGACATATGACACATGACACATGACACATGACACTTGACACATGACACATGACACATGACACATGACACATAATACATGTCACATGCACAAATACACCAATCTATATTTACTTTTCTCTAGATTTTAACCTGAAAAAAGAACTTCAACAGAATGATATAGAACTTTCTAAAAACGTAGAGATCTGCCTGAATGAAAATAAGAATGACATGTTTGAACATTATAGGTATCACAACAACGCATGACTAATATTTTACCTTGTTTACTGTAAATCAGTATATTTTATGATTCTGTTCAATTTGCACTGTTAACATTATAGTATATAAGTATGTTATTCAATTATTTCATTCAATAACAATTTCCATGTTATCTTCTTAATTTTGATTTTATTCTATAGGTGTTGCGGCTTCAATCGATGGAATGAATATTATTGCAATGACCAAAGTGTCAATTTTAAAATCGTCTACTTCTGCGTACCCTTCATCATATCTATTTGTATTATGTTGTGTGTTATATATAAACTGTGGCTCAGTTACAGGTTCGTATAGAAAAAAAATATTCTTTAAATTGAATTTTTAATCAGCTATTTCTGTTTGATATTGAAATTGATATTAATTTTTTTAAATAACATGTCACATATATGAATGTTTTTGTCAAATTTAACAGAACAGTCAAATTTGGTATTTATCCAGAAGCCAATACAGTGATAAATGAGTAAGTAACAACTTACATAAATACACAATTATAAACGTGTTGTATTAAACAATATATATATATATATATATATATATATATATATATATATATATATATATATATATATATATATATATATATATATATATATATAATTATATATATATATACTCTATTTCCGATGTTTTAGATCAGCATATTTTAAAATATAACAACATTTATGAATTAAAGATGATAAACTGCAATTGAAATAAGGACGTTTGCCTAAAGAACCTGAAAATTCGAAAATGTAGAATGAGAAAATGCTTACTTTTGTACGTAATGATTGTTGGATAACAAGCTTTAAAGGAATAACGTTTATAAACATTTGAAAAATAAACTAAAATTAAAAGTTAAAAAATTGTTAAATTTAATGCATTTTTTTTTTAATCGACCTCTTGTCCGAGTTAACAGAAAGAATGAAATGAATTACCAATACTTCATTTAAAATTAACTCTTCACAGATGGAAGAAAATCCAAAGTAGACCAGGCGAGAGTGTACATGGATACAAAACTGTATTAGCATCCAAGTTTATGACAATGGAAGGCTCGGCTTGGCTACTGTTCGACTATTACATTCACAAGGTAAGTTTATATAACATTAAACACGCAGACATGTACAAAAGGATAAACAAACAGTTTCGGTACATCAATTTTTTTCTTTCTCAGCTCTTTTTCTTCTGCGCTGGTTATAGCGCTGAACACATATCCTTTTACATGCCGCGGCTGAAACATTTAGCCACATCCGATCCCAAAGTACGTTCTTGGATTTTTTAAAAATTAAGGCCTACAATTTTTAGCACTTTTAAATATTTTATATATAAATACATGAAGTATAATTGTGTACATTTGTTTCTACAGATGCAACAGAAATTATGTTGGAAATTATCTTTTTTTTCCAACGTCGACTCGCCATTATTTGTTACTCTACTATTGGAAAGATTTTTGCTGACTCTTCCTTTTGTAGAGTTAGTTGTCGAAAGTTTATTAGAAAAGGACTATGCTAGGGCCGCCATATTTTTTATAGTTTCTACAATCATCTGCTTGATGCTTGACAGATTTTGCTTTAAGCAAAATGCAGAGTGTTCCTTTCACATATTTACACAAAATAAAATAAAACAGTGCATCATAATCTTCATAATATCTATTTACGCTGTAGTGTTTTACTTTTCCATTTTTTGGTATGTCAAATTAATATTCAAGTTAATTGCTATAGCCTTCGTAGAATTTGAGAAAGCTGATGTTATAATTAGCATTGCACTAGTTGTAGTCATCTACTTGCATGGTGTTTTCGAGACAACTAACTCACAGTTGATAATGTGCCTGAGAGATTTTAAAGTTGCATTAGATGATGTAGTGTGTACTAAAGGAGACGAGCGAACGAAATATTTCACATTTCTACTAGAGTGTGAAGGCGAGTGAATTAAAAAAGATTTTTGTCACTTTAGTCTTACTTGTGATACATTCTGCATTCATTTTATCTGTATATATATTTCTATTTGTATATATATATATATATATATATATATATATATATATATATATATATATATATATATATATATATATATATATATATATATACAATTTATTGGTTACTATTTAGTTGTTTAAGATTTTTTTTCATTGACAGAGATATTTTAAAAAAATAAATATTTCATAAATTAATCATTAAATTTATAATAAGTATATAAATGAGTATATAAATATATATATACATATATATATATATATATATATATATATATATATATATATATATATATATATATATATATATATCGCTGTCTCTCTATTATCTTAAAAATATCACAGTAAAAAATACCAAAGTTCTCAGTCAAAATATTTCCGACTTCATGCAAAATATATTTCACCTAATAGCTCAGATCAGTATATCTATAAAAGACGTTTCATGATGTTGTGTTAAACAGGATCAAGCGAGGACAACCAAGGGCACAAACCTGTCACTTCCGACATGTGTGATATCTCACTTCATGCAACCACAGATCGCTCACGTCTAGTAGTATCGTCAGGCGGATCCGGTATGTTTAAAACATTTTCTGGTAATTAAATATGTGCTGTTTAATTTAATTACATGTAGCATGGAGCAACTTCCATTAATTACGGGTTAAAAAATTAATGGAAGACTATTTTTTTTTTTTACAAAACAATCATTTGATGAATACATCTACGGAAATGACTGACATTAATACTTTCTTCTAATACAATTTTAATTTTCATTAGCGTATATACAGATATATATATATATATATATATATATATATATATATATATATATATATATATATATAATATAAGCGGGCTGTGTCTGTCCTTCCTTCCTTCCGTCCGTCATCGCTATAGATTTTGGGACTATAAAAGTAAACTGCGCACCATGCTGTGCTTTTCAGTGCACCGCAGTGTCTTATTATAAGTGTCAGAGTAGGGTTTGTTTATATAGTGGCATAGAGCTATTTTATAATTTTCACTGTTTGTACAATTTTGCATAAGAGAATATTAAATACACGCACATTGCTAAAACATATTAAAAGGATCAATGTCAAATATCGTTTTCGTTAATATTCCCAGAAAAAGTGGATACATTTTAATAACATAATAACAGTAGGGTAGAAAAATCTAATTAAACTGCTTAGTAATTTTGCCAATGGAGGTAATTCAAAGATAAATTGAACTCACGCTAAAAATGTGAATGCAAAATCTGCAAGACGGAATAATTGTTGGAATAATATAATTAGCAAAATGTGAATGCAAATTATGCAGACGTGTAAGAGTACATTATTGTTGGAATATTATTATTAGCATTGATTGATAAAAGGCTATCTTTTATTTATTTTATTCACTGAATGTACTGTTTACTAATTATAATTTTTAATCACCTATTCTCCATTACTATATTAAGTCATCACGTTCATTAGGTGCGCAATGGTTTTAGTCATGAAACTTTATTGTAAATTTTTACAAGTACTGAAAAAAATGCATGAATTTATAAAGTGCAATATGGTCGGTAAAACACGGATATTCTAAATACTGCCTTTAATTTATTTGCGGAAAAGCTAGGGGTTTTATAACAGAGGCGTAGCAAGAGGGGGGGGTGGAAATCGAAAGTTTGAGGGAGGTGGGAGGGTGTAAATCGAAATTTTCCGCCGGCGCTCGGAAAGGGCGCGATTTTGCGCTACGGGATAGACTGTGAGCAATATGCCTTTATGATTACATTTAAATTGAGTTTATGTTGAGTGTTGTGTTTGTTTTTTCGTTTTTGTTTTTTCTTTGCGTTCGTTTGTGTTGTATTTAGTTTTGTTCTGTTCCCAACTTGGTACATTTAAAAAAGATTTACCGTGTGTTGTGGTTGTGTTGTGGTTGTGGTTGTGGTTGTGTTGTGGTTGTGGTTGTTTTGTGGTTGTGTTGTGGTTGTGGTTGTGTTGTGGTTGTGTTGTGATTGTGTTGTGGTTGTAATGTGGTTGTGTTGTCGTTGTGTTTTGTTTGTGTTTGTGTTTGTGTTGTGTTTTTGTTTGTTTTGTTCTGTTCCAAAGTTGGTATATTTTAAAAAGATTTACCGTGGCGGAGCACGGGATGCAGCTAGTATATATATATATATATATATATATATATATATATATATATATATATATATATATATATATATATATATATATATATATATAGTTATACTCATTTTCCAGATGAACCTGAAAGTATTACAAATATATCTGTCAGTAATAAGCTACCATTATTCTATGACACGGATGGGAATTTATACGTTTGGAAAGAGTTGTTTTACAACTGTTGTCGCCAGTTCTTTGGTAGACGACCGCAGTCATGTTTAAACAAGATCGTAATGGTATGGTCACGTTTATCTTTACAAATTGATGTCAGTAGAATATTCTTCTGTAAACAAACGAATTTTAGTCGTGTGTATGCTTGGTCTAGAATATTACCCAATTGCTATAATCCCCGATAATTAATCCTTCTCGAAATACCACATCGCAACTGCTCCTGTGGGGCTAATGAAGCTCGATATCTGAGGACAGCAACTCTTCTATAATAAACAACTCCAAAATCAAACAACTGCTGCCTTGTATTTTGTTCTTGGTTGCACAAATGCTATGGAAGAAAATTCAAAAATAAAAACAAGCTTTAATCAAAGTCAACGGCCTAAATGGCACGTAACAAGTTGACACGTAATACAAAATTGTGTTTGGAGGGAATCTCTTCCATTATTAAAATTTAAAAACGAAGAAGAAAAGGAAGAAGTAGTGCCCCTGTCCAGTGGCGTAGCGAGGTCGGGTGTCACCCGGTGCGGCACTTAATGGTGTCACCCCCCCCCCCCTCAGAGGCGTAGCGACCCTTACCGGGGACAAACTTTTAAATTTTCGATTTGCACCCCCCCCCCCTCAAACTTTCGATTTTCACCCCCTCAAGTTTTCGATTTGCACCCCCCCCCCCCCCTTTAAACTTTCGATTTGCACCCCCCCTCAAGTTTTTCTCTATATATTTTGATATTTTTAGCCTTGGTGTCACCCCCCCCCTAAATGGTGTCACCCGGTGCGGTCCACACCCCCCGCCCCCCCTCGCTACGCCCCTGCCCCTGTCAATTATTCCCACCACCCTCACCCATAATAATTAACCCACTCCCAGGATTACCTATCAGTATGTCAACAATAATTTTATGATATACAGGCTGAAAGGGCTACCCGATTCTTTGTTCTAGCTCTAGCCCTACTATTAAACTAGTTGTGATTACGTTTAATGTTAGGATAAGATTTATGGTAAGTTTGTAATAGGCAGTGGGTGATATCCTACTCAAATGTTTGTTCGATTTGAAATATTCATGGGAGAAATTCACAATGGGTACTTATCTAGTGGATGGAGTCTGATGAAAATGGTAGGGAGATAATAGGGCTGGTAAGTATGTCACCAACCAGTTATATGGCTCATGCAGGTTTTATTGAGCCGTAGAGCTGGTTGGTGGCCTATTTACCAGCCCTATTGATAACGGTACTGTTTCCATTTAGTTCATATATAATTAATTGTTTTAAGGCTTCTTTTTGTTTTCAAATTTAGGCAACAAAGTGTTGCATTTTGAGCTGCTACCTTCTGATGCTCGGAATGTTGGTCTGGTATTTTGAAGATTTTTACGACTACAGTTTTCTGAAAACAGTGTTTATCATAATCGCTGGCGGAATGCTGCCTAAGGTGCTTGGAATGGTGTTTGGGGCACGTCCTAAGGATGTATCGTTGCAAAATACTGATAACGGGCAAGTACACAAATATTTATTTTTGTATACATTAGTGTTCGTTTGTATGTGTATGTTTAATAATGCCTCGATCAGCCATGAAGGATAGCTAAACTTGGAAACATATTAAAAATTTATTTTGGAAGTGTATTTTTAATTATTTTATTTCTATTTTCAGGTTCCAAATATTTGTTCAAAAAGAAATCGAAGCCATTTATGTAAGATTGTATTTAATTCGTATTAATAAAAAAGTCACCGGCATTTGTTCGATTGAAATATTAATGAAACTTTTAAAACTGTCTTTAATTAAAATAATTTTTACCAAACTTTATAGTCATGTCAACTGACGCTTAAAATTAAATTCTGTGTTTGTTGATTTTCGTTTTATCCATAGAGGTCTGTGAAGACTGGTAGTAATACAATGAATACTCGGGTAATCGTAGGAGATAAAGTTGTAGAATCTGATTAAAGCAGATATATATATATATATATATATATATATATATATATATATATATATATATATATATATATATATATATATATATATATATATATTTATATTCAACTTATCATATTTTTTGCAGAAAATGGCTAATAAGGATGTTCTACTGATTGTTGGGAGAACAGGAAATGGCAAAAGCTCATCATTCAGATCAATCAGGTCAGTTCTTAAAGACGAGACAACAGCACCTGGGACCTCAACAACAGCACCTGGCCCCTCAACAATACTACCTGGCTTAGATTTTGCCACCTACACAGAGGACAATCTTGAACTGATTGATGGCACTGGGATCGGTGATAACGGTGAAGATATGATAGTGAACGCTGAAGATTTAGTCAAATCGATATCAAGAAAATTGACCAACGGTTTTACTGCTCTGGTTTTTGTAGTCAAGTACGGCGTGAGGTTCACTAAACAAGAAGTAGACGCAGTGGAAACTGTCAAATCTATTTTCGGCAATGACGTATTTAAACAATGGGGGATTATCCTCATGACGTATGGAGATAACTTTTACCTTGACCATGATGATGATCCCAATTCTTTTAAAGCATGGTGTCAAGATCAAAATGGAGATTTTAAAAATCTTTTTGATGAATGCAACAAAAGGTGTGTACTATTTAACAACAAGACAAGCGAGTCATCAGTTCTTGAAAGTCAACATAAGATGTTAATGAAACAAGTAGAAGCTGTAAGAAAATTATCAAGTGGCCTCTACACAAGCGCGCATCTTAAGTCTGCTGAGCGGAGTCGAAACTATTGGGCAAGGAAAAACAAGGGGAAAGTTACTTATAATACTTTTAATTGACGGAAAGCGGAAACAAGTGATTTAAATTGTAAAACAAGAAAACAAAGTGATTATATAACACAAATGTTCTCAGTTAAGTAGACGAGGGGTTGCTAGTTTTAGAAAGATTTCTACATTTTAAACATTGTATGTTAACTACAGTTGTTATTTTATTCTTGTTTGCTAAAATATCATCCTGCTTTTGACTCCTTATTTTCGGAAAAGTCAGTTTTCTACGGATCAATCAATAAAACTAATCTCCTCTCTCTCTCTCTCTCTCTCTCTCTCTCTCTCTCTCTCTCTCTCTCTCTCTTTCTCATTATCTCTCGCTCTCTCTCCCTCCCTCTGTCTCTCTTTCTCTCTCTGTCACTCTCTCTAACACACACACTTTATCTTTCAATTAGGCTCTTTTGATTATCTGTAAACATATACAATGGTCAATATCTAGTGGCTAAGAACATCATATAATAAAATTGTAGATAATCTTTTAGCTTTATTTTTTTTCGGGTAACGCAGATAATCTTTTAATGTAGTGTTTTTTTTTAATTTCTTTAATTTTGTTAAAATAAATCATCATCAATAATGTAAATTTACATGTTTTTTTTTTAAAATTGAAAGTTGTTGTACAACTAATAATATGTCGTAGGTTAACGATATTTTATAATTATGTTGCGCCGTTAAGTTCTAAAATTAGAAAAAAAATTGTGAGGAATTTTTTTTTTTAAATCCTGCAATAGCGACTTATAGAAAAGCGTATTTTAAATATTCTAATTATCTATATAATTAAAATATTATTTGTCCTAATTCTGCCTGTTTGTCCGGAACGCTCTGAAAAAAATGACAAAGAATTGTGAAAGATGCGCAGTGAACGACTTTGATGTCACATGGAAAATTTCTTTATTGCCCATGTTTAACTCCGTTGTATTCGAACGGCTGACTATATTTTTTTTTCTATTTAAAAGACTATTTAGCACGCTAATTAATCACTCAATTAAGTTAAATTATCATTTTTCTGTATAATTTGCTATTTTTTGCCTTGGTATCACCCCTCTAATTGGTGTCACCCGCTGCGGTCCGCACCCCGCCCCCATCGCTACGCCTATCCTTCAATGGCCCATACACATACGTACTATTAGACTCTTTAGGTATTATGTATACATATGTAACTGTAATTATCCAGTGGCTTAGAGCAGGGGTCTCCAAACTACGGCCAGCGGGCCGGATGCGGCCCGCGAGGTCCTCTCATCCGGCCCGCCAAGATCATTTTGTCCACGGAAAAAAAGGATTGTTGGGGGTGGCTGAGGAACTATGCCCAGAAAATTTAAAACAATTGCCCGCCATGTTACAGAAATTGGTGAAAACTGTGTAACTCAAATCGCGAAAAATGCAAGAAAGTTTCGCCATGCTTCAATTGCAATGGATGAGTCGCTGGACAGCTGTTCCGCCTCTCAACTGCTTGTGTTCATTAGAGGTGTGGAAGAATACATGAACATAACACAAGAGCTGGCTTCCCTACAAAACATGTATTACACTGTTACCGGAGAGGATATTCAATTAGTAAAAAAAAACATTTGCTGATTATAACTTGGACTAAACTACCCTCAGTTACCTGGCAATTCATGGATGAAAGAACATGAGTGGCATAAAGAAAGGCTTGGTTGGACAAGCAAATGAGAAAAACATTCTACACATTAAATTTGTATATATTTCTATTAGTTCATTGGAGGTTGGGGGTAGACGTTCTTCGGGGAAAGTGTGGGCGGGGGGGGGGGGGGTCCCCCAGTCCCCCAAAGAGATGCCTGAAAGAAACTGGCCCCCGAACTGATATTTGATAGTTAATGCGGCCCTCGGGCTGAAAAGTTTGGAGACCCCTGGCTTAGAGAATCATGTAATAAAATTTTAGATATTTTTTCAGGTTCAATTATTTTTCGGGAAATGAGTATAATCTTTCAATTTAGTTTCTTTTTTTATGTATTGCCAAGTAGGCCTATTATGATTTCTTTAAAAATAAATTAGCATCATTAAAATAAATTAACATGTTTGTTTTTCTTCTGAATGGAAAGTTTAAAGCAATGTTAACCGTAATTTGTTTTTACAGCTAATTATATTTCGTAAACTGATTGTGCTGAAATTAGACATTTGGAAACTGAGAATTTATTTTAAATTCGTGGATAAAATGAGGATTGCCATGGAAAATAACTCGAAATTTTCTGTTCTTTAAAAATCTCGCAAATTTACACAATCATTTTTACTGAATAAACCTTATTGAACTTATACTTATACAACCTTAAAGACAGATTCTACTAACCAGTCGAGAGTTCAACAAGTTCAGAAGTCGATCAGCTAACAAGAACGCATTACACATTTTTATATACTAATTTTAAAATGGTTTTAATGTATTTATTTTTTCATCTAAAATTAAATAGTGTTTACGAATTAGTACTTTTTGTTACAAAAAGCAATGATTAATACAGGTTTAATTTTTGGCTTTTTTGTATTAAATAAAAATGGTTTCAAAACAAAATTAAGAAACGACAAGTTTAATTTTTTACTGCAGTTTATAACGTTAACATTTTAGTAACATTAATATTTGTAATAACTTCAGGTGACTTTAGTGCAATCTAAATAAATATTGATCATATGCGTTTTAGAATTAGAAGCTAGTTATGAAAAAATAAACCTGAGAAAGATACGCACCACAATGTGAATATGAATTTGCCTAAACAAAAACCTCATGAAGTTTCTCCATTAAAACAACATTACAGCATTATGTTGACCTACACTCATTATCTACTAGGCATGCTGCCCAGCTTCGCTTAGGCTTTCGAAAACATTGAGAATTTGAATACTTAATTAATTCGCCCATATAAGGCGCCGGTCAGTCGAGGTCAGTTTTGACCCCCTCATCGTAGACTTTTTGGCCAACCGGCCCCCGTGTTCTGTCGCCCCAAGGCAAGATCCTGCAAAATTTGAAGCGCCTGCGGCGCAGGGAAGTGCCCTATCGGGCACCCGACAACTTAGCTTTATAGATCATCTAAATCTAGATCTAGAATCTCTAGATCTAGATGATCTAGAATATCTAGATCGAGATCAATATCTAGATCTATAATCTCTAGATCTAGAATCCAAATAGATAAAATAATTTTTTTTAGTTTAGGCGGAGAAAATCGTATTGTATACATTTCATAGCGTACATAGCTCTAAATCATATTTGAATGAAATAGTTCATTTCTTTTTATTTTAAACTCGGAAGATAACGTCACCAGTTTCGTGCTCTTTTTTTTTTAGTGTAAACAATAAGCGACGTCATTGTTAAATGCGTTCTTGTCTCAAGTTTATACACTTTTCCTGTTGCAAAAATAATACTGTTTCTCTACATTCGAATACGCCTTTATTTTTTATTTTTCTTCTTTAAATAATTTTGTGGTTATACATTTAAAACATCTAACATATTTTTTCAACAAAAGTCCGTATAAAGGTATCCATATATCGCTGTCGATTCTGACGTGATATCCGGCGAAAATATTTTGCGGACAGAGAGAGAGAGAGAAGAGCGCACATGGCCTTTTATATATTAGGATTCTTATGTCACTCTGTTTTTCCACCTTAGAGCCTGATTTATACATTACTGCTAATTTCCGCTGAGCAGATCCTACTCTAAAATTAAAACATGTAACTTACAGGCCATAAACAGGGGAAGTAAACCCTCCAGTATCTGGATGAAAAATGATTACCAACATTACTAATACTTTTGTTATATTTATTTTAATTTTTATCGCACCTACAGTATAGGTAACTAGCGATATAAATGATGCTGTAAATCTGATTACGTTACGTCTTATCAGCTAGTTGATTTCTAAAAAAATAACAATAATTATTATTGAAACAAAACAAAATTTATGTCAATCAATCTTATTAAACAGTAAAAGAATGCATATAATAATGTAATATTTAACTAAAACACCATTTATTATAATTAAAGTTAAGCATATTATTGAAACTAATTTTTTGTCTCCTTAATACTTAACACCAATGAGGCTGTCAGATTTGTTGGGTGTCGATAATAATATTTAAACTAAACTAAATTTTAAATCAATTATTTGACAAAACGTGTCTAACATCTGTAATCGGGATTGTTTATAAAATTAAGTGTATAGAATATGTGTTTTGATAATATTTATATTCGTATATTTAAACATATTTGAGAAAATTCTCTTTTTGTTTTGACAGCTTAGGTTCGAAATGGTAATTTTACTCACCTGGTAGTTAACAAAACTAGAAATGCCAAGCACTCTAATAAATGTTTTACATTCGAAGTCAATATAACGCAGACATTTTAAGAAAGAAACGACGAAATTTTAATTTATAATGAAGGGACCTAACCAAAAGTAAAATTAAAAAAAACAACTGATTATTTTAAAAATAGTAAGAATGTATTAAAATGTAACTTTACTTTATATTTTAATAATCTGTGTTAGTAATAATGGAAGACCAAAACACCTAATTGTGCTAAATACTATCAGCTAATTCCTGGAAATTCCGATTCTCTTTAATACTTGATTAAAAATAGGAATCCAAAAAAAAACCAAATTAAATAAAGTTTCAGTTTAAGTAAAAACAATTCAATTTTATAAGGTTGCTCAAAAAACTTTAATCATGCCCTTTTGAGATAATTTAAATACATTATTTTTGTAACCACGTTAAATAAACGATTTAATATACTATGTGTGTTAAGACAGGGAGATAATACTGCAAAGAAAGAAACAATGAAAATGTGGTTACTTTCCCTAAAAGGAAAGGCATTATTTTTAAAACTGTATTTAAGAGAAATTTTTCCGCTCAACTTCTCATTTTTACCAATTGTATTAAATACACCACATTTGGTTCATTTTAACATATTAACGAACACCATTAAATTGCAAACACAAACAAATATTAATATCTAAGTTGAAACATGTTTTATAAGTTCGGACAAATTCAAGCGTAACTTCCCCTGGGAGATTTCACTGCTGGTCACCACTTGGACGCTTATTTTGATAAAAAAAACAGAGTGATCATTAAATTTATGATTGAAAATTTTATTACACCTAATTTAATTTATTTATTTTTTCCGTTGATAAAACATTTGCCAAGCAATAATTTGCGTTTTGTATAACAAACTCCAGACTGTAATTAATGTATGCCTTCTCCGCTAATGAACATCTGGTGGCTTGAAAAAAATTACCAGTGCCAAATTGTTGCGAAAAACTGGGCATCGATAAAGAAACATGATAGCGCAAATTGGGATGAGTTTTACACACCTTGCGTAAATCAACTAGCAACATCACCAGACTGGCTCTAGATTAGAATCAACGAACAAAGAAGAAGTAGGTAGGCCAAAACAAACATGGAAACATCAGCTATCAGTGAAGCAGAAGCAGTCGGAATGTCATGGGGGGTCGGCGTGGTCGAGTCGGTAAAGCTCATGGTTGCTAAACCGAAAAGTCTCGAGTTCGATGAGGCTCGATAGCTGGGGACAGTCACTCTTCTATGAGAGACAACTCCAAAAAACAACTGATGCCTTGTAGTTTGTTCTTGGCTGGACAAAGGCTATGGAAGCAAATCCAAAAAGAAAAGCAGGCAGAGATCGGAGTCAATGGTCTAATTGGCGCATAACCAGTTGACACGTACTCCTTAATTGTGATGGAAGCATGGTCGAGTCGGCAAAGCTCATGGTTGATAAATTCGAAAAAAAGTCTCGAGTTCAAACCCTCTGGCAGATGAGGTTCAATCGCTCCCAACACTAAAAATTAAGAACGAAGAAGAAGAAGGAATGTCATGGGCCCAACTTCGAAGAATTTCCTGAGGACGATGGAGAGGTGTGGTTGTGCACCTATGCTCCACAAGAGTCCACAGAACTTATGTTGATGCTGATAATGAATAATCTACATGTTGTTATATCATCGAAACAGCCACCTTCAAGCACACAAACTTTTGAGATGTAGTGCAGACACCCGTGGTATTTTTAATACATAGCCTATTACCTGACTCATTGTGTTTCCTAAAGTAAGTTGTATTTTTTTTAATTAAGATTTATTTCCTGAAAAACAAAGTATAATCTATCATAAGTTTCTGTGGGATGGTGTGGCCTAGCGTTAGATCGCAAGACTGCTAACCTAAAAGTTCACGTCGCTCGGACGTCCCCGAGTCAACTCTGCTCTGATGAGTACCGAACTCGCTTTCCCTTCATACGCCGAAGTCACAAAAACAGGTAAACTCTACTTCATTTGCAACGTGGACCTCTAGGTTTGAAAAGTGATGTGTACTTATGTATATTTCCTAGCAAGAGCTGTATTTCCGAAAAAAAAAAGATTACATATCCTAACATATTTTTATTTTTCCTAATATAAACTTTATACCACATAGGCAATATTTCTGAATGTTAGTTGTATTAGAAAAAAGTAAAGTTCCCTTTCAAACCTGACGGTCTATAGGGCAAGTGAAGTAGAGTTCACTTGTTTTGTGACCTCTTAATATTAGCTGTACATTTTATATTTCCAAACATATGTACAACGTTGTAGCCTGTGAGCTCTGCTAAACAAGTACAATTTAATTTATCTTGCGGCCAATTATTTACTTTGAATCTGTAACTTTGCGTTATTCGCCTGATTATAATACGTTTACATGTTGAAAATTTTCAGAGAACATCTTATAAACTCACTTAACCAAATCATGTATCCCTAACAAAAAGTTGTGACCAAAGTTTTAATATGTACTGAAATATAAGCATTTAAATATGATTGCTTTTAAATACATAAACAAAAAAACCTTAGCGTTTTTAAAAGTGCCAAAACCTTCGGGTTTCCATGACAACCGAAATTGTTTTTAAACTCTGCTTGCTGTTTAAGACCAATTTTATGTGCCAAACATGGCAAAAGTATTTAAAATATAGAAAAAAAATAGAACATATCCCCTTTAAAACGGCTACCCATTCAACAACCTCCTGATGTTGCAGCACCTACAATTACATTCCACATCTTGCAGCTCTAAAGTAAAACAACATTTTGTAACACATTTCCCTGTTACATATCTTACACTTCCTTGCGTAAAAGATCAACGCAATAAACAAAAGCGACCAACAAACCATTGCGCTCTCTTGATCCCATTAGCTTCTAGATTAATTTTACACAATAGTCATAATTTTTCATATGATTGAACACAATTCCAACAAGCTATGAACTACTCAGCTAAAACTTTAGTACATCTTTATGAACTGTATTAAGTATCGACAAGCTGAAAAACACAAGAACACTGATTGTTCAAATTAATAAAATAACATCTACTAAAACTGTCATTGTTTGGTTTTACTTTTTATTGTACCACCTACAGTTGTTGCCAGGCAGATTCTGCACACACAGTCCGAACCTGAATGGGATGAATTAAAAAAAACAGTGATTTATTGAAATGTATTATATTATTGTGGTCTTAGAAGTGAAGAATACTAAATGCTGTATTTACTCTGAAGTTTTTGTTTTTGTTTCTCAAACAATTCAATGAATAATATACAAACAATTTTATTTTATCCAGTTTTTTTTTTCTTTTTCTTTTTTCTTAATGTTGGAAGTGTTTTCCCCAACACAATTTAGTATTACTTGTCAACTGGTTACGCGCTATATAGGCCGTTGACTTCGATTTCAGCCTGCTTTTTTTTTAGGATTTGCTTCCAAAGCCTTTGTCAAACCAAGAACAAACTACAAGGCAGATGTTGTTTGATTTTGGAGTTGTCTCTCCTGGAAGAGTGGCTGTCCAAAGCTAACGAGCCTCATCTGTACGAAGGGTCGAACTCGAGACTTTTCGGTTAAGGAGCCATTAACTTTACTGACTCAACCCCTTTTTAAATATAACATATTAAAATTCCAAACAACGTTACTGCAGTTCTGGTGATTATATGAGTGACGATACAAATTTCCTCCAAAATTAATTAACTTGGTACCATTACCAGAATTAATTACCTTGTTACCATCACCAAAATTAGTTACCTTTGTATCATCACCGAAATTAATTACCTCGGTACAATCACATAAATTATTTACCTTGGTACCATCACTAAAATTAGTTACTTGCTACCATCAACAAAATTAGTTACCTCGGAACCATCACCAAAATTAGTTACCTCGGTACCATCACCAAAATTAGTTACCTAGGTACGATCACCAGTAAAAACAGGTGAACAGATACATGTACGCGATAGGGAAGAACAACTTGTTGTAGCACACAGTGATGGCACAGGCAAATTGTGTGATGTCCGGTCTATTGATGTGCTAAATAAAACAACACCAGCAGTTAGATTTCATTCGTGAAGACTTTAAATTTATACACATGCGATTTTAAATCAAATATCTTCAGGTACTAAAAATCTGTAGCTTAAAAACGCGATCGATTTTGGTCAACATTTTTAGATGTAGGAAGTAGGCCCATTTATTGTAAATGTTCGCACAAATTATATGTTTTACTATTTAGATAAAACTAGAATACCCGTCATCCGTTGGATAACTGTGGGTTTCGGGGGTCATCCATAAAAAAACATCACGTCTGTCACTCAGAGGCATAGCGACCCTTCCCGGCGCCCGGGGACAAACTTTTCGATTTTAACCCCCCCCCCCCCAAGATTTCGATTTTCAACCCCCCCCCCCTCAAACTTTTGATGTGCACCCCCCCCCCCCACTCAAACTTTCGATTTGAACCCCCCTCAACCTTTCAATTTATTTTTCCAAACCATTTTGGCGCCCCAACATATGTCCCCCCCCTTCCCCCCCCCGCCTCCCCTCCCGCCACCCCCCCCCCCCCCCTCCTCGCTACGCTACTGCAGTGTCACTTATCGTCACAAAAAACAGACCCCACATTCAAAAATATGTTTCTTATCTTTTAAAAACACCGAAAACACCGATTTCGGACTATCCCTTCATATACTGACGTCACATGTGACCTACTCAACTCTACTTCACCTGCCCAGTGTCCCGCCAAGTCTCAGACAACATGTTTTTATCGTTTAAAAAACGATTCCAGCCGAGCATGTCTCTGACCACACTATCCTTTCATATGCTTAGGACAAAGAAACAGATGAACTCTACTTCACCTGCCCTGTATCCTGCCAAGTTCAGATAGGCAACTTTATCATTCACATCTAGAAAAAAAAAATTGAAAAAAAAATATCATTGACATATTGGTCTAGAACCTGTGCCACCCGCATCAGAGCGGACTACGCTACCAACTTAGCTATTTACTCGTGACGTCACAAGTGAATTTTTATACTATAATTTAAGTCTCCTTTTGCAACATGATTTACGCGCATAGATCTAAATCTAAGTCTAGTAGTAGTAACTTTCAAATTAAATTTTATCTTAAATTAGCCAAACAAAGATTTATATAAAATAAAGAAGGTCTGAAATTATCTAGATCTAGATAGAATTATCTAGATTAGATTCTACGACTCGTTTGCTTAAGTCTTAAGTTTAGTTTTTCTTGCTAGATCTAGAATCTAGATCTAGATCTAATCATTAGGCCCGGCGCGAGCATTTCAAAATTACCATATTCCAAACAAAGATTTATATAAAATAATTAAGGTCTAAAATAGTTTAGTATATAGAAAAAAATTATTATCTAAATCTAGAAAGAAAATTATCTATATTTTAGATCTACGACTGAGCTATATTTAGAACTTACGTTTATAATTTAGCAAATTTACCGGCATCTAAGCCGCGTATGAATCTTAAGCTACACCAATAGGCCCGGGAGCGAGCATTTCAAAATTACCATATTCCAAACAAAGATTTATACAAAATAATAATGGTCTAAAATAGTTTAGTATATAGAAACTCATTATTATCTAAATCTAGATAGAATTATCTATATTCTAGATCTACGACTGGTTTGCTTATCTCTCGTTTTTTTTATTGTATTTATAACTAATAAATCTTTGATTTGACCTAGTCTAGATTGTCCTAGATTCTAGATTCTAGATCTAGATCTATAAATAACTTTCTTGGACAGATTTTAGATCTAGAGAAATTTATCGTAAAACTAAATGAAAAAGACAGTTGAAAATTGATATAAGTGTTTGAACGTAATAAATACAGCAAACGGACGTATTGTTAAAGTTATGACCGACAGAAAATTAGATTTTGAACGCGTTAAACTTTTGAATGGGAACACAATTTTCTTCGATAGACGCCGCCATTTTATTGTACTAAAGAGTAAACAAAAACCTGTGACGTCACTATTCCCACAAAGTTTAGTCAATGTTTTAACATTTTTAAAAAAATGGGTTACTCTACGTATGAATAAATCAATAAATTAATTAACGTCTTTAAATAAATGTGTGATTAACAGTCTGTCTGTATTAAAAAATTATTCTCTACCTACATACTATTTTACAGCTCTCCAGATAGAGTCGAACATATCACAATACTCGATCGGACAAACAAACAAAAAAAAATAATATTCAAACATGTAAACAAACTTGACTTTTAGTAGTATATAGATTGTGAAATACTTAATTTAAAAAAACAAATATCTCTGTCATTGAAACAAAACTTAAACAACTAAATAGTAATTAATACATATATATATATATATATATATATATATATATATATATATATATATATATATATATATATATATATATATATATATATATATATATATATATATATATAGGGGTCATCCATAAATAACGTCACGCTTTTTTGACGATTTTTATCTCCCACCTCCACTCCGTCATACATTGTCACAAAAAGCCAGACCCCCCCCCCTAAAATGACGTCGAACCTCAGCCTACAACCCCCCTTAAACTACTCCTTAAACTACTTTATTTTTCCAAAATCTTGTTTGAACTCTGTCAACATAGAATATTTTAATAAACGAGCCGACCCGCGGCGTATCAAACGCCGCAATTTAGTTGTTCTATATTCTACTTTTTAGTAATTCATAATTTGTGAATTCGACAGTACAAACGCTGCAACTAAAAATATTTGCTTTAAAACAATATCAGTAGTTCGTTAATGATGATAACTTCCCTCCCCCTCCTTTCCCCTACCCCTACCCCCCACCCCCGTGAAAGTAAACTCCTCTTAGTTACCTCCCCCATTGAAAGAACGTTTCAAACTAAATTATCTGCCCCTAATAGCCGTCACTAAACCCGGCTCTACGATTGTAAACATTTAGCGTGAACCACCACTCACCAGAACATGTAGGGGTGGGTGTGGTAGGGAGCGCGCTTACAGCTTGGTGTTTTCTATCGTCTCCAAGAAGAGAATTATATATATAGATTCTTATAACAATGTGATAAACAGTTTTCTAAAACCCGAAATAACGGCTAAAATTCGTTTTCTTACATAGCTTTTTTATAATGCAAAAGTGTGAGGTCACACCATCTGTTCCCCCCCCCCCCTCTCTACCCCATACGATTGTGACGTTTTTATGGACGACCCCATATATAAATTTCGAAATCGAATTTATTATTTAACCAATACATTTCTGTATTTTTATGTTGTCTTTGAAACTCGAGAGATCTTGGAATTTTAGAATAAGATCGCACAGTTAACACGATTGAGTTAAGAATAAACATCCCACATAGCAAGGAACACTTATGGCTTATGTAAGGGCTTGTACAGAGGCAGTGGCGTAGCAAGGTCGGGTGTCACCCGATGCGGCGCTTAATGGTGTCAGCCCCCAGAGGCACCCCGCCCCCCCCCCCCCGTCCGTCATCAAATTTTCGATTTGCATCTCTTAAAAAGACTATTTAGCACTCGAATTAATAACTAAATTAAGTATAATTATCATTTTTCTCTATATATTTTGCTATTTCTTGCCTTGGTGTCACCCTTCTAAATGGTGTCACCCGGTGCGGTCCGCACCCCCCCCCCCTCGCTACGCCCCTGTTAACAGAGCTGAAATATGTAGCTATTCTTTAATAAACGGTAACTGTAAAAAGTACGATTTTACCAGTGCAAATACATAATACGTCTTACTTTGTTTTTTTCCACTAAGCAGTTGACATTACTTTCATAAACTTTTTGTTGTTGTTTTTCAGCTGCAATTATATATATATATATATATATATATATATATATATATATATATATATATATATATATATATATATATATATATATATATATACATAGAGGTATACGTAAGTACGTGTGTACGTGTGCACGTAGGTATGTGTGTATGTTTATATGAATCTATGTGTTTATGTATTTATGTGTTCACGTGTGTATGTGTTTTGTGTATATGTGTTTTGTGTTTTGTGTTCATGCGTTTATGTGTATATGTACATGTACGTGTACGTGTAGTCATACGTGTACGTGTACGTGTAAGCATACGCGTACGCATACGTCTGCTTATTTGTGCATGTACGTGAAGTAGAGAATACTTACAGACCATCAGTAGACAGTTTTTGTACTGGTATTTAGCGGGGATTGTAGGGGCCCGTGGTGCACAGTATTCGTCCACTGAATTATGATAACTCTTGATGTCATCTATACCGTCATTTGACCATCGCTGTGTAAAGTTAATATGTGCGTTTATAAATGGAATTACAATTGTTTAATACGTGTGACGGTAGCAGAAGAAAATATAGCAAGACATTGTTTCGTGAAACATTTCAAACGTGTACATCTTAGACATTCGTGCTACTACCCTATCGTTCTGTCTTTCCGTCTTTGTTTACCGCACTCTATCTGCCTATCTGTCTGTCGGTCTCATTCTCGGTCGTTCTCTTCCTCTGTCTATCCCCCTGTTTGTCTCTATGCCTATCTGTTTTTCTGTATTTGTAAGAGCATATTCGTTTGCACTTTTATGTGCATGGGTATGTGTGAACGTGTCTATTTTTTGTGTATATGTGCTATGTATTATCTGTGTTTGTGTGTACGGTTTTATTATCAGTCTCTTTTTTCTCTCTGTCTCTTTGCCTGTCTGTGTTTCTCTCTCTCTTTCTCTCTCTGTGTCTCTCTCTCTTCCTCTCTCTCTCTCTCTCTGTTTCTCTCTCTCTGTTTCTCTCTCTCTCTCTCTGTTTCTCTCTCTCTCTCTGATTCTTTCTCTCTCTCTCTGTTTCTCTCTCTCTGATTCTTTCTCTCTCTTTCTCTCTGTGTCTCTCTCTCTTTGTCTCTCTCTTTCTCTCTCTGTCTCTCTCTCTCTCTCTCTCTTTCTCTATTCCTCTCTCTCTCTGTTTCTCTCTCTCTCTGTTTCTCTCTCTCTGATTCTTTCTCTCTTTCTCTCTTTGTCTCTCTCTTTGTCTCTCTCTTTCTCTCTCTGTCTCTCTCTCTCTTCCTCTATCTCTCTCTATCTCTTTCTCTCTTTCTCTATCTATCTCTTTCTCTCTCTCTCTCTCTCTCTCTTTGGCACTCAGGACTAACCTTCTACTTAAACTAACAATTTCTAACTACATTTTCTTATCCTCATTACATTCAAAATCTTGCTTCTATCAATTACTCGATAACTATGGTATCATCAACTATATAGCAGCTCACAATGGCTTTCAACTGGCTGAAAGAGCGCCATTTATTACTCTCCTGTGAATAGAGCAGTGCCTTGTTGTCGGGAAACAAAATCAGTTTTTTCGCGTGTACGCCCAGTACAGCACACACCAATACAGTCACCGTCAGCATAGCGGGCAGTCTTTGAAGTGCAAGGACTGGATCGATGTAATAGCTATATCATTATATTATATATTTATTATATTATTATTATATTATATATATTATATATATATATATAAATATATATATTATATATATATATATATATATATATATATATATATATATATATATATATATATATATGAAATATTATATATTATATATTATATATTATATATTATATATTATATATTATATATTATATTATATATTTTTAAACTGTGCGTATCTAAGTTAGGGTACTGTATGAAAAGTATTTGCATGAATCAGTCTTCTTTTTCTTCGTTCTTAATTATTAGTGTTGAAGGGGATCGAGATTTATCTGCCAGTGGGTTTAAACTCGAGACTTTGTTCGAATTTATCAACCATGAGCTTTTTTGCCGACTCGACCACGCCTCCAACACAATTAAGCGTTACGTGTCAACTGTTTATGCGCCATTGAGGCTATTGACTCCGATTTCAGCCTGCTTTTCTTTTTGGATTTGCTTCCATAGCCTTTGTCCAACCAAGTTGTCTCTCCTAGAAGAGTGGCTGTCCCAGCTAACGAGCCTCATCTGCCCGAGGGTTCGAACTCGAGACTTTTCGGTTTAGCAACCATGAGCTTTACCGACTCGACCACGCCGATCCATGAATCAGTGACTCTTTTGAATATATGGTTGCCATGACAACGGCGGCCATCTTTAAATAAAAACTTTCTGATGATGTTTCAATGATCAACAACAAACTGACATATCTAACGTAAAATCATTGATCTTTCTTGAATTAACTAGAATCAGAAGGCTAGATTTTGTAACAGATAACAAGCTAGAATTTTTTTTCAAATTTTCATACCGATTAAATATAACAGGAAGTAACCTAACTTAGATACACGTATATAAACAATAAAAGAAGGCTTATTAAAGAGGAAGTATAAGTTCGCATTTATTTTTGTTTAGTGTAGCTGGCATGACAAAAACATTTAATTCAGAATGTACAAAAAAAAAACGTAATCATTGTATGGATGATATTAGACAAAAAATAATAAAATCCTCATTCACATTGCTAACTTAGGTAGTAAAAGTAAAGATTCCCCATCCAACATAGCAATCCATTAGGCAGATAAAGTAGAGTCCAAATTTTTTTAGACCTCGGCATTTGAACGGATGGTGTGGTCAGCATTATGCACCGACGTCTTTACTTTCCCCAACGTAAGTGCGGTACCCGATAGAGCTGGGTGGACTCAGGTACATTATAAAGTCACAAAAACGAACCGAGATCCGAACTTGAGACCCTCGATCTCGCAGCTAAACGTTCTACCTTTGTACCACTTAAACTTAAAACTTAACTTAAATATTAAGTTAAGAATTACAACAAAATAAATAATTGACATTTCTGAAGTCTTGCAATATATATATATATAAATATATATATATATATATATATATATATATATATATATATATATATATATATATATATATATATATATATATATATATATATATATTTATTTATTTATTTATATAGCTTATATATAGCCTATGTATATATAAATATATATATATATATATATATATATATATATATATATATATATATATATATATATATATTTATATATATATATATATATTTATATATATATGTATGTAGATATAAATATATATAAATATATAGTATTTCATACTAGTTTGTTTATATGTAAGTATAGTTTACAATACCTTATTTTGACTAAGAAAGGTTCTGTAAAGTGGACGTAACTCCCTAAGTGTCTAGTGTGTTTGATGATCATACATCAGGTTTGAATTAAACCACTGTACAGATAAACATAAATTACTTCACCCGACAGCAGTGCAACATGTTTTATCTTAATTTAAAAGCCTCAAGATTATATCTCACGCAATGTTTTAAAAGACAGAGATATATCCTAGGCTCGTCTCGTTGAATACTATGTTTATAAATTTTTTTTATATATATATATATATATATATATATATATATATATATATATATAAGCTTGTATGGTAGCCTATACGTTTATATCAAAGCAAAGGATGCACATACATCAAAATGTTGGAATGGTTTCTGTACTTATAGTAACATATTTCCCCCCCCCCCCACACACACACACACATATATATATATATATATATATATATATATATATATATATATATATATATATATATATATATATATATATATGGCATGTTTTTTAAAACAGGTAGGCCCTGTATATAAAAGGCGCGCATTTAAATGAATAAATAAAAGCATCTAAAACGCAATGTCCGCACTGTTTCTCCATATGTCCACAGAAACAGGTGAACACTACTTTACCTGCCCCGTGGACGATAACATTTGAAATATTTTCTTTTGTGGGAAATAAGCTGGAGTACTACATTATTTTCGGTTATGTAATAATTAATTGACATAGGCCTACATTTGTGGCAAAGTGTTACAATATTGAAAATTGGACGTTTTTTTTTTTTTTTTTACAAAGAAAAATAGGCCTTTTTCGTTTAATGAAGGTTAGAAAAAAAGAATTCAGGGGGGGGGGGGTTAAATACATGTTTAATTTAGTTTCTAGAGTTTGATGGATTTTTTTTCCCAATGCAAGATTGTCGATATTAGTAGCAGATATCGGAAGACGTGGTGTACCGATAGAACGATTGCATGCTTACCCAAAAGTCTTGAGTTCAAAACCCCAACTCGACTTCTATCAAACAGTCTCCCAAGTCCATACCAGGTAGTGCGCGGATGCAAAAGTCTGGCAAAAAAACAACTGTTCCAACGGCTTGTAATATGGATGAAAAAAATTCTCGATTCCTAACCCTGCTCCACTCTGCCTGACTATTGAGCAAACGCTTGATCCAGTAGTAAGTGTATAAGAAATAGAAAACAGCAGATAAATAAATAACATTAATCTCTATATTAAAAAACCGTTATACTGACCTTTGGTCCGACGCGTGTGTAAGATAATATCTATTTCACACTTGCAGTTTTTTTTTTATTTCTTGATAAGAGGCTATCAACACGGCAGCCGTCTCAATAACTTCAGGCTGATAAAAAACATCAGGAACACCGAGGGTGTGGTTTCTGTAAGTGCACTTATCGGATAGACGTACCCACACAATTAGTGTGAAAAAAATATTTCTGAAAAATCAAATTTTGTTTACGTTCAGTGGACTTGTTTAATTAGTTGTATTAGCAGGAACAAATATTTCTGAAAAAAAAATATCAAGTGCTTAATATTTACGCAATTTTCTTATAACTAATCGCGATGAAGTTTGATAGTAATTTAAAAAAGATGCATACTCCTCTGTAAACAGAGAATACAATACAGATTGGCTATACATTTTTATACATTTATATGTGTGTGATGTGTGTGTGTGGGTGCGTGCGTGCGTGAGTTGCTCGTGTGTGTGTGCTTGTGTGTGTGTGAGTGCTTGTGTGCTTGTATATGTTTGTGCTTGTGTGCTTGTGCGTGTATGTGTGTGGAATAATAATTCAAACACATTTATATCACAACTATTTATACTATACTAGTATTTGAGTCTTATCGACGTCACCTAGATTAATGTCGGGGCCGTTTTTCCAGAAATCTACGGGAGACGGATTATATCGGTGGTAGTGGATGAGATCCTGCATGGAAACTGAAGGGATTTTACAAGGTGTGATTGTGACCTCCCAGTTTTACAACGTAACCGGAGCTTGTGTGAGTGAAAGTTCTGAAGTTCCAAATCCCGACAGTTCTGGTTTGACTGTCAGATAGAAGCAGATCTAAAGTTTAAATTTTGTACTTGAGGGGAGGGGGGGGGGTAATAGAGTATAACTTAAGTTTAAATTGTGTACAGAAGGAGGATAGAGTATAATCAGAGGCGTAGCCAGGGGGGGGGTGAGGACCGCACCGGGTGACACCATTTAGGGGGGTGACACCAAGGCAAAAAAAATAGCAAAATATATAGAGAAAAAAAAACTTGAGGGGGTGCAAATCGAAAGTTCGAGGGGGGGTGCAAATCGAAAATTTTAAAAGTTTGTCCCCGGGAAGGGTCGCTACGCCTCTGGGGGGAGGGGGGGGGGGTGACACCTTTAAGCGCCGCACCTGGTGACACCCGACCTCGCTACGCCACTGAGTATAATTATATAAATTGAAAGGGGGTGGATATTGTCGAGTGAGTATTTGTCTTGGTGGAGGGGGAGGGGTAATTGTCCTGGGGATTAATATCACGGGTTAATCTTCAATATTTTAATGAGTTTGCAAACAAATTAAAGATCTAAGCCTGATGTTTTTTTCTTATGGCTCTTTGTAGACATTTGTTATTTTGAATAACGTAATTCTAATACCATACAATATATTGTCTATATTACTTATTAAAATATTTCGGTGACATTAATTGGAAAATGTTTTCCAATTCTCTACTTTTATAAAATGCACAATGCTAACGGTATTAGACTCTGTTAAATTAGACTTTAACTGAACCCTAAGCATTATACAGGTAAATAAATAATCAAGCTGAGAAAACAACGAATATACTGTTTTAAGTTTCCAACACGAATAAATAGGAAAATAAAGAAATTAAATAACGAAACATAATACGAACAACGTTAACTTGTCTGTGTGGTTAGTTTAAAAAAAACATGGGAGAAATATCACCTTTAAGAAACGATTATTTGAAATACTTCGTCAAGCAATTTCGCAAAATATTCCAGTCACAATTTACCCGTCAAAATTCCTGTTTTCCATTTTATATAAGTGGTTATTGGCCTTTGTGTACGCATCAGAGATACGTACTAATATCTATTTAATTTAATTTGTGTCTTTAGTAGCAACCATAGATTAAACCTAGGAGGAACTGTATACTGACACTTTACCTAAGTTTTATATACATACAGATCATCATTATCATAAACATCATTTATGTGGACCCATTGTAGAGCATAGGAATGCATAACATCCCTCTATCGTACTTGGATATGAGCAATTCCTCCAAGTTGGGCCCATGTCATTCCGTCTGCTTCTACCTCCCTGACAGCTGACCTTTTCCCAGTGGCGTAGCTACCGTAAAGCTAGCGTAAGCAAGGCATAGGGGCCCAAGGCAAATAGGGGCCCTTTTTTTAAAGTTTGAGAGGGGGGTGCAAATCGAAAGTCTGAGGGTGGGGAGGGGGTGCAAATCGAAAGTTTGTCCCCGGTCGCCGGGAAGGGTCGCTACGCCTCTGAGGGGCCCAATAACACCCGAAAATCCTAGCTACGTCACTGCCTTTTCCATGCTAGTTGTATCCTTCTTACTTTCCTCTTTCCTTTGGGATTCCAGTCTGGTGATGTTGCTTGATGGATTAAGCAGGGAGAGACCAATCCATCCCCATCTGAGCTTTTGTATTTCTTTTCCAATATTGTCTTGTCCAGTTGTTTTCTCCACAGTTGGGCATTGGAATTTTTTTCCGGGTACCTGATGTTCAATAGGCGACGCAGGAATCTGTTAATGAAAGTATCCTTACAGGTGAAGGTGTTTATTTATTCATGGTACATGTCTTACCGTATAAACAATCGTAACTTGAAGCCCTGTTTAAAAGATCGGGGCTACCTTCTGCTAACCAGCTACGTCTAGGAACCATTCTAGTAAGTATTAAAATAAATCAACAATACAGATATTTTAGGATTCTAAGATGAATTCATAGATACGTATTTTATTTTCACCTGCGCAAGTGACATTTCATTGATGAATGACAATATGAGTTCTGAGGAATAAAAAAGTTACCCGACAATTTAAACAATGTGTTAAACAATGTTAACAAACGATTTTGAAATATCCAGTCACGAGCTTCGTGATTTCAATTCTTTGTTGTGGTGAAAATCGAGCAATAATTTGCTATCGCTTTTGTTTATCTTATTTGACGAGTGTTCAAATATCTGAATCAAAGAATTATACCCGCTTTTAATAGATCATTTGAAAATAAATGACTGACTTCTTTGGATTTGAAGTCATGAAAACGGCAATATTTTGTGGGGGCCCAATGATAGTATTGGAAATATTTATTTTTTTAATTCAATCTATGAATGGAGTAGAGATAAACGAACACTTGTACAATGATAACACTAGAGTTCGTTGATATCATTTTGGACGTGAGATTAAAACACAAAACGTAAACAATTATCTTTTTGACTTAGAGCGATCTAAAATATCCTTGAAAACAAGATGTTGCAATACCTGCCTTTGAGTAGGCACCAGAAGAAAAAAAAATTAATTTCCCTTGTAATTGTTTCAGTTTGAGTACACGATTTTATTTCAATTTAATTGATGTTAATTTAAAATCGTGACAATGGAGGCGTAATTAGTTTATCAGTCTGCCCCGAAGTCTGATTGTCCGGTGATACCTTCGAAACGGGTTTACGCACATCAAAGTTACGGAAATTTTATTGTAGGCTGGAGACAATGAATATTTTCATGAAATTGTAAAAGAAACGAAAAGTCTAAAACTTTTTGCCGAACATGTAGCGTATATAAACGCTTCGGACACTAGAGTCCGAATCATTCCTTCAAGCTCATCATTCGTTTTCTCTATTTTCTAAGCAGTTTATTTTTCTCATCTTAACTTCCGACCAACAAAATGAAATTATTTATACTATTTGGTACTACATTTTTAAAAATACTTCATCATAGTTATAGCTTTTTTTTTAAAGAAGCTATAAAAATTAGATTTGATTTTTAATTGTCAAATTTTTAAAAATTTCAGACTTTCGATAAATTATTAAATTTTTGAACAATTTAAATGCAAATAGCTTGACGCTGAGTTGATTCGAAAAGATTATTTTTTGTTATAATTTCCGTTCTGCGGCTAATTCAGAAAAC